ACAAGACTGCCGCTCCTTTTGTAGTACCTATCTGGAGTTTGATCATGCCCTGGTCTGCGCCAATCTCACCTTACTTTTCAGTGGCCGAAGGATTGACCACCACCAACGGGTCGATGTTAGTAAACTGGCTGCAACATCTATTGTAAGTAAGTATCGAGCGGAGCTAGCTTCTAGGCTAGCTACCATCTCACCGAAAAGTATAGATGAGCATTGGTTGCATCTTCACGACGCCATGAAAATGGCGAGTAAAGCCGCTTGCGGCTTCGCGAAACGTCCCGCTTACAAGCACTGGGTTTCTTCTGGCTCCTTACAACTGATCGAAGCCCGTCGGTCTACTCCGGGTGACCGTGAGTTTGACCACAAACGAAGGCTGTTACGTAATGAAATCGGGCAAAGCTTGCGTAAGGACCGGGAAGCCTGGTGGTTGAAGCGTGCTAATGAGATGGAAGCAGCAGCTGCATCTGGCAACTGCCGGAAGCTCTTCCAACTCATCCAAGCCACTGGCAGCAAGAAGTCTGGTGTGAGTGAAACAATCTACGAGGATGACGGGATGCCAACCACTAACATCTGTCGACGTCTTGGACGATGGGCGGAGTTTTTCGAAGGGCAGTTCAACTGGCCTGCTGCTCCGGCAACATCAACCAGTTTGTCCTGCCCCCCATGGCCGGTGACGACTGATCCACCAAACGAGGCGGAAGTCCGCAAGGAACTCCAACTCTTGAAGCGCTACAAATCACCGGACCCAGATGACTTACCTCCGGCTCTTTTTAAAGATGGTGGCGACTTTTTGACTAAGGAATTGACTGTGTTGTTTGGAAAGGTTTGAGAACAAGAAAGTGTTCCAACATCATGGAATGAGTCGGTAGTCGTCCCTATCTTTAAAAAGAGTTCACGTTGTTCCTGTAACAACTATCGGGGGATAAGTCTTCTTCCGATTGCGTCCAAACTATTGGCTTCTGTCATTCTTCGTAGGTTGTTTAAAACCCGAAAACGATTGACTCGCGAGGAGCAGGCTGGTTTTCGTTCTGGTCGAGGATGCATTGATCACATCTTCACCCTCCGCCAAATGTTAGAACACCGTCATACTTATCGCAGGCCAACAATCGTAGTGTTTCTTCATATCAGGGCTGCCTTCGATTCGTTGGACAGGACTGTTCTCTGGGATTGTCTATTGAAGAAAGGTGTGCCTGGAAAGTTCATTAACATCTTAAAGGTCCTGTATACGAACACCTCAGGCAGAGTGAGGGCATACAACCACCTTTCTCCCTTGTTTCATTCGAGCAGTGGGGTTAGGCAGGGTTGCCCGATCTCACCATTCCTCTTCAACTTTGCCATCGACGACATCCTGGAAACAGCTCTGATGGATGTAAGTAATGGCGGTGTGGATATGTTGCCTGGAGAACGACTTCTCGACCTCGAGTATGCGGATGATATTGTCTTACTGTGCGATAATGCCCAAGGCATGCAATCCGCACTTAATCAGTTGGCAATCAGTGTCCGCAGGTACGGCATGTGCTTTGCACCCTCCAAGTACAAAATACTCCTACAAGACTGGCAGGATTCTCATCCTGTACTCACCCTGGATGGTGAGCAGATTGAAGTAGTTGAGAAGTTCGTGTATCTAGGCAGCTATGTAAGTGCTGGTGGTGGCGTGAGTGATGAGATCGATGCACGTATAAGGAAAGCCAGAGCGGCTTATGCCAATCTGGGCCATCTTTGGCGCCTTCGTGATGTTAGTCTGGCTGTAAAAGGTCGGATCTACAACGCGTCGGTGAGAGCAGTTTTGCTCTATGCTTGTGAAACCTGGCCTCTCCGAGTTGAGGATGTTAGACGTCTCTCTGTGTCCGATCATCGTTGTCTCCGAAGGATTGCTGACATACAGTGGCAACACCATGTTAGTGATGCAGAGGTTCGGCATCGTGTGTTCGGGCGCCGAGACAATAACCCAATTGGTGTCACCATCTTGAAACACCGACTTCGGTGGCTTGGAGATGTTTTACGAATGTCGTCCCAGAGACTTCCACGCCGTGCATTATTTGCCGACTCTGGGACTGGTTGGAAAAAGTGGAGAGGAGGTCAGTGTATGACATGGTGTCGTGGCATGAAAGAAAGCTGCAAAAGGCTAGCTTCTGTTGGTCCTTCACGACTCCCTGGCTGGGGTCCGAGAGATGGTGCAACACAGTGGCTAGAGACGTTATCAGATATGGCTCAGAATAGAAGCCAGTGGCGATGCTGCTGCAACCTTCTTTTACTTTCTACATAAAGAGTGGTTCTAACTTTCTTAACTGAAAGTGTCTCCTGGCTGTACATTTTAGTCCGCGTTATCTTTTCATCCTTTCTCTTTCTACTTTCATTATTTTGTGTGGCGCATATGTATCTGGTGCCCTTTTGTACCAATATATATGTGTTTAAATAAAACAAACCCATTAAGTAATATATTTATGACCTACACGAGTTTTAGCGATGATGACTATGGATAAAACTGGCAACATTAGATAAATGAGTACATGTTTATACTTGTTGACGAAGTTGTGATGCAGTGATAATACTCCTTAAGAAAAAAAACTAGAAATCAAACTGAAGATGAGTTAGTGGTTAAAAGTAGTTTGCTGCAAGTAATCTTGAGCCTTTCCTGAGATGTTACAGAAGCAAAACGCCGCAAAACCATTAGTCTTGAGTAGGCCGAACTAGAATAAAGACTCAACAAACACTGTGTAGGCTACTAGTTCGATATGTTGAGAACTGTGGCGATAAATTGATTAATTTATGATAACAGTTCCTAAGACCAGATAAATAACTATCATAGTGTTTATGTAACTCACCCAAACGCCTAGGTCTCCAATCAGGACGAGTCCTTCCCCGCTCAACATCTGTCACGACGCGGACACCATCGATTTTTCTGCCATTTAGGGATTTGACGGCGGCTTGAGTGTTAATAGGATCGTACATAACAATACAAGCACACAAAACAGGTTACACATGAAATCTCATTATCAGTACAAAAGAACAAATCACTTAAATATTTGGGACGTTTCATGAACAAATAGAATACAACACAACGATTTATAAGCAAATATATTAAACCATTTCCCTTTATTTGATCCTCTTTTGGAAGCAGTTATTACCATATGAGCGGCTTGCACTAACTTAGAAACTCACCAAGAGTATCCTCCCTTCGATGTACAGCTACATAGAATGGCAAATAGCTTCAAACAAAGGTGTATTTACAAAACTCTATTTCGTTCAAGAACTCAGACTAATATATCAGTTAACCAGAAAAGGTCTGCCCTATGGTAGCAACAAATGTGGCTGACCATTAATTAGTAGCTTACCACACAAACAAACCTAAGCCAGATTTTCTGTAGTTAAGCGCTTGGTTGAAAACCATGATTTTAAAATGCAGTGCAGGCCATTCAAAATATTTTGAGGGTGAGCACAACTGCACGTTTACGAATAGATGCCTGAAGAGAAAAGAGAACAAACCATACAATGAAGGCTATGAAGAGCTAATTAACTATTTCGGCCTATAAACATGACACCCCTACGAATCACCACACTGAAAATGGGTTAACTAAAGATCACTGAGCAACTGTGAGCGGTGTTACAAAGTAAATATGTCAGCTCACCATGCATATCACGTTCATGTTCAAACTCCACAAAACAATATCCACGAGGCTTCCCCGTCATAACATTCTTTACCATAACAATCTATAAGCAAGTATATAAACCAAATATAAGTTTACGTTGTTAATTCGCCCGAAGACATCAAGTTCCCGCTTTAGCTTGGATTCTGTCGTTTCATAGTTCTAGACAGTCATAATGGTAAGTTGTTGACTTACAAGTCTGGCTACGAACATTGTGTTGTAAGGATTAGAAGTAGCCTTTGGATTCTTCTTAGGATTCCCTAGGCAAAATTCATTAAAGTTACTCAAGATCCAACGTACATAATGCGAGGTCTTGTTCAAGTTTATAATTGGCTTGCTCTTGTTTCTCTCGACGCTGTAGGACAAATAAAATAATACCAATACTTACTTTTCTTTCTTTACGTTCTTCACGAGTTTCTATGCGCACTGGAGCTGGAGTTTCAGACGCATCCTAACAAAAAGGAAATGCTTATAGAATAAGAATAGCAAAAGCACAGTATTTTACAGAAACACCTTAGTACATTTGAAAGATTACTACTTAAAACTAGCTAAAAGCTTACTTCAAACTCTCCTAAGAATTGAGCTACACCGGTATATGGTAATTTTCTGTGATTTGCATGTTTTTCTATCGGTGGAAGGAAAGGGATTGGATCTCGTGGTGCGAAAAGTGCCAATAAATTAGGTGGTAAAAACTGGGTCATCCTCGAGGTTTTGAACGGCGCGCCTCGATGGTTAAGTCACGTCGTAAAACGAAAGCAACTAAATAATTTTCGAAAGAGAGATAGTTGGATATCTTAAGTTTAATTAGTAACGTTACACTTTTTCCTTGCCTCACTTAGTGAATCAGATCTCACGTAACAAATTTCAGCTGAAACTGAGTTTACTGCAGAACTGGGTTTTTCTTAGTTTCATCTTACGTAGATAAAACAGAATGCTATCGTCGACTGAGTTATAAATTTATCTTTTCAAAAAAGGTTTCGCACCTTTTTCTTGATTTTTTAAAATGCATAGCTAGTCATCATAATTTGTTGGACGTTTAGTCATGGTCATTGTACGATTCTGATTGGCTAGCTTTTACATCTGTTCCTAAACATGCGTTTCCCCTTTATGGATATCCCAAGTCTTTATGTTTCATATTTTGTTCTCACTTTTGTAACAAGTGACTTTTAAAGTTACATACTGAGGATTAAAAACACTCACAAATCTATCCACTTTTAATAAACTACATTTGAGAAATTATTCTGCTAAGACGCCGATAACTGTTGAAAACTTTATTCACATGAAATCAACAGAAAAATTTCAAGATCAATATACTGGAAAAATTCAGCACCCACAAAGCATAATACACAGTTTACTATGTGTCGTTGTGTAACAGATCAGGTAAAAACATTTAATTTTGGATGTTCTCATGGACAACTCAAAGTCAGAATGACCGATCAGCGCATTGTGATTAATGTTAGTGGTCTTCGCTTCGAAACTCATACTGACACTCTAAATCGTTTCCCAAATACACTACTTGGATGCCCTTTCCGAAGAAGCCGTTATTATGATTCTCTTAGAAATGAATATTTTTTTGACCGCAATCGTCCAAGTTTTGACGCAATACTCTATTTTTATCAGAGCGGTGGAAGACTTAGAAGACCTGTAAATGTACCAATAGATGTTTTTACGGAGGAAATAAAATTCTATGATCTAGGGGAAGAAATTTTCGAACGTTATCGTGAAGACGAAGGATTCACTAAAGAGGATATCCATATTCTACCTAAAAATAAATTCCAAAGGAAAGTTTGGTTACTTTTTGAATACCCTGAGAGTTCAACTGCAGCAAGATGTATAGCTATTGTTTCCTTACTGGTCATTCTCATATCAATTATTATATTTTGTGTTGAGACGCTACCACATTTTAGACACTATGAACTTCAATTTATCGAAGATTCTAATGAACTACCAATAATTTCTGCCGTTGATACTCCTCAAGTTACTGGAACACTATTTATTTTAGAATCTATATGTGTTGTGTGGTATACCTTTGAATTATTAATACGTTTTGCAGCTTGTCCACAAAAGTTAGCATTTTTTAGACAAGTAATGAATCTTATCGATGTGGTATCAATTATTCCTTATGCTATTTCAATAGGGGCACTTTTAGCTGAAGCTAACAAAGGCCAGAATCAAGCTATGTCATTGGCAATTTTAAGAGTGATCAGGCTTGTCAGAGTTTTTCGCATATTTAAATTATCACGTCATTCTAAAGGACTACAAGTTCTTGGGAGGACACTCAAAGCAAGTTTTCGAGAATTATGTTTACTTTGTTTCTTTTTATTTGTTTGTGTGGTCCTTTTTTCTGCTGCAGTTTATTTTGCTGAAGTCGATGCTAGTGAAGAACAATTTCCAAGTATTATTGATGCATTTTGGTGGGCAGTAGTGACAATGACTACAGTAGGATATGGAGATATGAGACCTGTAACAATGTGGGGAAAGATTGTAGGTTCAATGTGTGCAATTGCTGGTGTTCTAACTATAGCACTTCCTGTACCTGTTATCGTGTCAAACTTTAATTATTTTTATCATAGAGAGTCAGAAAGTGAAGAACTAACTACTTATGTTCATGTCTCAGATGATCAAAAAGGTTTCAATTATCCCGATAATAAAGCTTTAGGTAATTTGGACGATGAAACACTTGATGATAGAAATGAAGAAAAATACAAAGGAAAGAAGGCAGCAGTAATTTTACGACAATCTTTTTCACAGCCATCTGATCGTGAAAGAATCACTTCTGTATTAAGCAGTGATTTAAAAAATCTTGAAGTAGAACATGAAGAAGAATCCAGTTGTATAGATTCATTAGGTGAATTAGGCAATCTATGCATGGAAGCAAGAAATTCTCAGGTGAATACAAATCAAGCCTCTATATCATACAGACACCATCATCAAGCTTTTCAAGAGGTTATGCAAAAACATGACATGCAAACACAACGATTCAAAGATCTTTATCCTCAACAATCGATAGCATCTAATAATAAGCGAATTTCACTTCTAACTCATTCAACAGTTTCTCCAGAAGAATCTTGTTTGAACAAAACCTGATATATATATATTAATGCTTATCATGTATGTTCACTTGGTTGTTACTTCCCTTATTATTCGGATTTACTAAATTGGAGAATATATAAATATTGGATATACATTCATATATTTACACAAGCCTTCAAAATATATATTTGTTTAAAACTCCGGTGTTTAAATGAACGATGATATTTTACATGTTCTGTTGTGTAATGTTTTTATTTGATCAACACTTACTAAATAAGACAAAAGACCTAATATTAAAATGATCAATGTATTCCTAACACACACATAGGCACACACAAACTTTCCTCTGCATTTTATAACTTCCTGAGATGAAAATCTACTCTATAAAAAGGTCAGTTGGTTGATAGCTAATTTTGTTTCTAAATACTTTCATAATATTTCATTCATTATTATACAAAACACTTGGTAAAATAAGTATCAATACCAAGGTTGGACTTGATAGTTTCAAATAAATTGAGTATTGGGTAGAGAGTTAATAATGTATTTTCTTGTTATATCCTAATGAATAGAATAACAAAACATATATGTAAGCAAATATGGATAGTGGCTAACTGTGGAATCCAGGATGCGCGTTCCATCCTATTTGTCACCCGTCGCAAGCAAGTGGCTATCAGGACTCAGTGGCCGAGTGGATAACGCGATGGCGAGAGGTACTGGGTTCGAGTCCCAGGATGAACATCAACTCAGATGCAGGCAAATCCAGCTGACGAGTCCCAAATAGAACGAAACGCGCATCCTAGATTCCACTGCTAGCCACTATCCATTTTTGCTTACAATGCTTGTGAATTAAGGCTATATCGAGGCAATACGCACAGTATGCCAATTAGAGACTGACCAGTTGCAGTCCTAACACATCGATGGGAAGATTCAAACAAACGATACTAATCGAATTTAGAACATATATACATTTATTATCAGAGCATAAAGTTTTTATGTGATGACATGACAAAAAAGTGTTGAACTAATGAGTAAACTACATTAAAACATATTGGACGTATTTCATCCCCAACTCATTAATCTACAATTGTTATCATTCATATGAAATAATTCTACAGATTATTTCTTAAACATAATACTTGACAGTAATACGTTTTTTTTTCTTTTCAAAAAATTACTATTATAGATCTATGGAGATGAGAAATTGATTTTTCTTGACAGATATGATAATAAAGAAATAATAAATTAAGAAAAAATTGGTTGCATATTAAAAAGCGGTGATGATAATAATAATATGATGTTATCGATATTCTATCAGATGTGTAACGAATAAACTTACTAGATAAAAAAACTTTATTGGGCTTTATGTAGAGTTGGGGTGTTTATTGATTTCTGTTTTAATTAGTTTGCTGTTCATTTTTTGTTTTACTAAATGACTGTAATACTGGTGCGCATAGTTTTATAAAATCATATTAGATAAGTTTGAATGTAAATATATATAAGTGTGAATGTTAGCATAATCTTTATTATCTTGAGATTTAATAAATATAGGTCATGCTTCTTGTTATTAGGACATAAAATGTTCTTCATTATTGATTTACAAGGCCTAGTTTATCATTCACCTATAATGAAATTGTGTGAGAATTCATTACATATGGGTTATGAAAGAGATTTGTTATAAAACTAAAAATAAGTTTTTTTAGTTTTAATGATAACTTACTAAATAAGGTTACCATTGTCTTAACGATTCTTTTGAGTCACCATTAAAATTCACACCTCTTAATTCACTAGGATATAGGTCACTATGGTTGGTAAGTCCAAAACAAGATGATACCTGAATACTTAAGTTCACTGATAATCAAATTATATTTCTCCTTTTACAATAATCTAAACTGTCAGTTTACAAGTTATCCTGACTGATGTACTGAACATGTGTCATTCCCAAAGCTTTCTGTAATCTTCATTTATTGACATAACATATTCAACATTAAAAATCTATTAAATAGCTATTGTTCTTTAATAAATGAATCTTGCTAACACTTTTCGGATACAAATACAGTTGAGTAATCTTTTTTTAATTCCCAAAAATATGCACTAAATAAAGTAAATTATTCTGAGTCTCTCTTCAAATTATTTGAACTATGTATTAATCAGTTTTCGAATATTTGAGTGATTCATTTTTGTACAAACTAATTAAATTCATGAAATAATTTGATATCAGAAAGAATACAAAGTAATATTATGTCAGTGGTTGCCACTAGTTACTGTTTACTAAAACAATAAATTCTGTAAATGCTAAATACTTTACTAAATGACTATTTATTGTATCTACCGGGGTTTCCGGTAGCCCTACAATACTTTACAATTAATATACCAGTAAGCTATTCTGATACGAACCGTTTTATGGGCGGCTCTATAATGGCAGCTGACACACATTAGCTCAATAATTATTGGCTAACGCAAGGTAAAAATGAACTGTAGGAGAAACCTGATATTCAAGCAGAAAAACTTGAAATGGTTATGAGAAGGACGGAATTAGAAAAAAAGACATTCGAGGTTATCGTTCGTATAAAAACTTTTGTTATTATCATTAATAATTAAGTAGTTCCATTATCGGTCAGAGGGGGTGTAGTGAACAGAACACTGGTTGGGGACAATCGAATGTATTTAAGCAAACATTACAGACTATCTCAGTAAATTCTGAAAACCATACAATGGACAGTTAATTTGCAAATTAACAACCAATAGTCTCAATCTTCACTGTTTCTTCTCTAATTCCATTGTTCGCGCATTTTCCAACCGGTTGCGCTTCATTTCAGTTCTTTCCTCATCGGTCTTCTGCCAAAATACATTCTATGTCTGACCAACACCACAGGGGTTTTTGTGGAGAATTTAGGACGAAACGGCCGTTCAGTGCTTCCAGGTTTTCGATGGTGGTCTAACTTCAGTTGACTCATGATTTCAACTGTGAAAATTCCATTATCATCACCTTTGTATAACTGTCTTTTAATCAAGGTGATTTGTAAATGCTTTTTATTTGTGCTAAGGTTTTAGTCATAAATTAACCTGTAAAAAAGTATCACTATTCTTAATTGAATTAAAACTATTATACAGATTAATTAATTAAAATTATTGACAATAGATGCTCATCGAGCTCAACTAAATGACCCAAATAAGTAGCCAAACTTTGGATAAACACATCTTCAAAAAATGGGAAATCTGAATTCAGAATTGTCAGTTTTCTTATTTGTTGTGTTCTCTAAGTTTGATAGTTTAGTTGCAAAGCTTGCATTGCCTTTCTAGACAACATTAGCAGTATATACATGTTTTTGAAACAGTGTTAATAAAACATATAAAAATTAGTGTATTCAGAAATAGGTTTTGATTTGCTTTTAGTGTATAAAATAAATTCACCTCTATCGTCTTTAACTTTCTTTCTTTAAACTGAACCATACCAATTTTTAAATCAAACAAATAATGCACACTTGAATTGGTTTCTAAGTGAATTAAACAGTGAAATAATTATAGGTAATGCTAACAAGTATGTCCTACCAAGAGTTCTAAATTTACACGTCATTTTTAAAAGACATATTTACGTTGAATTCGACTATTCATTAAGATCATTTGGTTGAACTTGAAATTGTAGAAATTGATCAGAATTTTTAATAAATAATATTCTTCGTTCGTACATATATATATTGTTTGAGGATAAACATCCCTTTCCAATGTCCAATAAACGTGTAATATCTAGCATTTTCTAGCATATTAATTTAGTATGTCAGTGCTATATATAAGAGTGTAATTTTCACTGAGGACCTAATTTTAATCATCCAGGGCTACTTGTATGTGTCTTGTATGAACACGCTATTGCGGAACATATCAATTTGCTGGACAAAAAAAGCAAATTAACTGAAAGTTAGAACCTAAAAGTAAATCCTCGGTGAAAGTTATGTTCTCATATGTATAGATATAACATATATAGATATAAAACAAATATCGAACACTGGGAGGTAGAGATGCCACAAATTCACGGACACATATCTTATCCCAATATATCTTTGTGTCTTGATAAAAATGAATCTTGAATTTTTGAAAGTAATAAGAAATCCAGTGGAGTGGTATCTATTCAGCAAATTTATTATTATATATATGAAATTTTAATGGGTTGTTTCTATGATAGGAGTGAATACGACTGACGAAAAACTGTCACATAATGTAAGTGATTACAATACAGTTAGGTCAGTTAACTTCGACAACATTAGGATAAGAGTGAAGTGTAAAACTAATGACCTAATAATATATCGTATTATGAGTTAGCTAAACTGGTTAAAATAACTTTTTTTCATATCATTAATTAAAACAAAGGTTATCATCATGTTTCTTTAACGTCAAGTACTTAGCCTCACATTAAAGTTTGATTCGGGTTTCTATTCCTTAAGTCTGTAGTGCAATTCTTAAACTTCATACCTGATAGATAAATTATATGTTTCAATATTTTATCGATCTGTTCTCTAGTGGTTAACATTTTATTATCAGAAAAAGTAAAAACCGTAATGAGAATATCACAAACAATATTGAATCATTCAATTTAGTGATTAGATAAATTCTGTCCATCAATTTATTGATCAGTTTATCTATATAAACGTTTGAGGACGATTAACATTTATCACATCTCAGTAAAAAGTAATGATATGAATTTCATTAATGCTCATCTTTAAAACTGATCAATAAAGGAATATAATTTTGAAGAAACGTATCCTGTTGAATAAAGTTCTACAGAAATTATCTGTTGGTTTATTGTGGATACTGAAATTCACCTATACCACGTCGGAAATGCATCTGACGGAAAGCATGGAATACAATGGACATCTCAGAATCAATTAGACGATTTGGAATTCGCAAATGACCTAGCTCTCCTATCTCATACACACGAACAAATACAAACGAAGACAACAAATGTAGCAGCAGCAGCCTCCGCATCAATAGGCCTCAATATACACAAAGGAAAAGCAAGATTCTCCAATACAACACGGAGAACACTAACCCAGTCACACTTG